CGGGGGGGGGACACGGCCCCGGGCACGGCTGGGGTGCTGCGGGTGGGTTGGCTTCCTCCTCCTCCTCCTCCTTCTCCTCTTCCTCCTCCGTGGGGGGGTCCTTTGTGTGTGTGTGTGTGTGTGTTTCCCCCCCCGTTAGATGAGGGAGATCCGTACGGGAATGCCGGGCGACTCCGTCCTCTGCGGCGAGTGCTGGCTGACCAGGTGCTCCACCACCGTGTGTTTGGACATGTGCTTCATCAGATAGGTCTCCTGCCACGCACACACATGTGAAAGGTGAGGGGTGGCACACCAGGGGGGGTGTTTTGGGGTGTTTTTGGGGCGGGGGGTGTCTCACCGAGGTATAGGCGCGGCCGCACATGCTGCAGCAGTAGGCCTTGGCGTGCTTGATGGCGTGGGCCGAGAGGTGGATCTGCAGCGAGGCCGAGTCGGTGTAGGCCCGGTAGCAGTTGGGGCACTTGTAGGGCTTGTCCTTGTTGTGCTGTCGCTGGTGGGACTGGGAGAAGGTGACACGGGGGGAGGAGAGGGGGGGGATTATGGTGACACCCCAACACACGCACCCTCCCCGCTCCCCCAGCCCCGGGGTGTCCCCGCCGCCCCCCGGCCCCGCGCTGACCTGGAGGTTGGAGAGTTGCGTGAAGGCCTTTTCGCAGCCGGGGTGCGGGCACTTGTAGGGTCTGTCGCCGGTGTGGATTCTGGTGGGGGGACACACGTGTCAGGGCACTGTCACCCCCCCTGGCAGGGACCCCCGGGGACGGGGAGCGCGGTGGGCACAGCGATGACCGGGACTTATCAAGTGATGGGGGGCAACGGGCCCAGCGGGACACGGGAGAAAGAGGGAGAGCCATGGGGCTGGGAGCCATGAGGTTTGGAGATGACGGAGGTGGTGGAGATGGATGAGCGTGGTGGGGGCAGTGGAGGTGTGTGGTGGGGACAGATGATGGTGCTGGAGATGATGAGCACAGTGGGGACAGATTGGCCGAGTGGGGACAGATGACCATGGTGGAGATGGTGAGTGTGGAGGGGTCAATGAAGGTGGTGGAAATGATGAGCACAGTTTTTGGTTTTTTTTTTGGTTTTTTTTTGCCTTTTTCTCCATTTTTTACTAAGGTAAGAACTGGTGGGGTCAATGAAGGTGGTGTAGATGAGTGTGGTGGCGAAAGATGAGTGTGGTGGGGACAGACTGGCCAAGTGGGGACAGATGACCATGGTGGAGATGATGAGCGTGGTGGGGACAGATTGGCCAAGCAGGGACAGATGACCATAGTGGAGACAATGAGTGTGGTGGGGTCAATGAAGGTGGTGTAGATGAGCGTGGTGGCGACAGATGAGTGTGGAGGGGACAGATTGGCCAAGTGGGGACAGATGACCATGGTGGAGATGATGAGTGTGGTGGGGACAGATGAAGGTGGTGGAGATGACAAATGTGGCAGGGACTGGTGGGGACAGATGAAGGTGGTGGAGATGATAAATGTGGAGGGGACAGATTGGCCAAGTGGCGACAGATGACCATGGTGGAGATGATGAGTGTGGTGGGGTCCATGAAGGTGGTGGAGACAATGAGCATGGGCGGGATGGGTGAGCACAGTGGGCTCAATAAAGGTAGTGGAGATCATAAGCGTGGTGGGATCAGTAAAGGTGGTGGAGATGACGAGCACGGTGGGGAGAGATTGGCCTAGTGGGAACAAATGAGTATGGTGGAGATGATGAGCATGATGGGGTCAATGAAGATGGTGGAGATGATGAGCACGGTGGGGAGAGATTGGCCTAGTGGGGACAGATGACCATAGTGGAGATGATGAGTGTGGTGGGATCAATAAAGAGATCACAATAAAGAGATCACAAGCACAGTGGCAACAATGAAGGCAGTGGGGACAGACTGGCATGGTGGGACAGATGGGCATGGTGGAGATAATGAAGGCGGTGGGGATGGATGAGTGTGGTGGAGTCAATGAAGGTGCCGAGCACTATAAAGGTGCTAGAGGTGATGAGTATAGTGGGGATGATGAAGGCAGCGGGGAACGATTGGTGTAGTGGGGACAGATGAGCATGGTGGGGTCAATTAAGGTGGTGGAAATGACAAGCACAGTGGCAACAATGAAGGTGTTGGGGACAGACTGGCATGGTCGGGACGATGAGCATGGTGGAGTCAAGGAAGGTGGTGGACACAATGAAGGTGTTGGAGATGATGAGCATGGTGGGGACTGATGAAGGCAATAGGGACAATAAACATGGTGGAGATGGACGAGCATGGTGGGGCAATGAAGGTGGTGGAGATGGTGACTGTGGTGAGGATGATGAAGGCAGTGGTGACTGATTGGAGTGGTGGTGAGAGATGAGCACGGTGGAGATTACGACCATGGTGGGATCAATTAAGGTGGTGGAGATGCTGAGCGGGGTTGGAATGACAAAGGCACTGGGGACAGATGAGGGTGGTAGGGATGATGAAGCCAGTGGGGATGATGAGCGTGGTGGGGATGGATAAACACAGCAGGGATGAGGGTGGTGGGGACAATAAGCATGGCATGAGAGATGCTGGGTGGATGCCCCACCACCCCCAAAGGGAAGACAGGGCTGAAAGTGTCCCCGCCCAGCCTCCCGGGGCCCTCCCCAGACCCGTGGGGCCACCACGGCCTCACCTGGTGTGCTGCTGGAGGTGGGACAGCTGGCGGAAGGACTTCTCGCAGTAGGAGCAGTGGTAGGGTTTGACGCCCAGGTGGATGCGCAGGTGCTGGGCCAGGTAGGAGGCGTTGGCGAAGGATTTGGAGCAATGGGGGCACTTGTGGGGCTTGGCCTCTGTATGCGACTTGGAGTGGATCTGCATCTCCGACTTGGTGAAGAACGTCAAGGGGCAGACCTTACACCTGGAGAGGGGGGCGGAGAACCCCGCAGGGACCAGGCTGGGGCTGGGGGGGGGACACCCCGCCATCACCCTGGCTCCCCAAGCGGGTGGGTGGGCACCTACCTGTAGGTCTTCCCCTCTTTGGCGGTCTCCCCCGAGGCCAGGATGGGATAGGGCACCACCAGGACCGGGGGTCCCGAAGGATTTTCCGCCTTGATCTTCTTCCGGCCTCGTTCCGCCTTGGGTGCCCCCAGCAAGCCGTGGCCCTGGATTGTCTTTATGGAGTCGAGGAGGGGGGGGCTGGTGATTCCTGAGATTAGGGTGGGCGAGGAGGCGATGAGGCGGCTCTGGCTGGTGGAGGTGGGAGTCGATGGGGTGGTGGTCCCCGTCCCCGTGCTGGATTCGGAGGTGCTGACTGCCGGCGCGCGGGAAGCCAGCCCCAACCCTGGCGGGCAAAAAGAGGAGAGGGGCGTTAATTTTGGGGGGTCTGCTCTCCCCTTTCCTCTCACAGCAGGGTCATAAATTGGGAGGAACTGTCCCCAAAATGCCTGTGGTATTACCAGGAGCTGCTAACCCCGCCGTGGTGGTACCTGTGACGGTGCTGGTGGCCGGCCGGGCGTGCAGGGCCACGTCGGGCTGGGGGACGGCTTGAGGGTGGAGACCCGGGACCTGCTGAAGTTTGGGGAGGGACATGATGGACTGGCTGCTTTCGGCGGGCGAGGGGGGCACCTGACTGCCGGCGCGCGGGAAGCCAGCCCCAACCCTGGCGGGCAAAAAGAGGAGAGGGGCGTTAATTTTGGGGGGTCTGCTCTCCCCTTTCCTCTCACAGCAGGGTCATAAATTGGGAGGAACTGTCCCCAAAATGCCTGTGGTATTACCAGGAGCTGCTAACCCCGCCGTGGTGGTACCTGTGACGGTGCTGGTGGCCGGCCGGGCGTGCAGGGCCACGTCGGGCTGGGGGACGGCTTGAGGGTGGAGACCCGGGACCTGCTGAAGTTTGGGGAGGGACATGATGGACTGGCTGCTTTCGGCGGGCGAGGGGGGCACCAGGAGGGGCTGCTGGGAGGCCACGGAGGTGGGGGGCAAGTGCGGGGGGCGGATCTTCTCCGCCATCAACTGCTCCTTGATTTTGTTGATCAGGACCAGGTTGTCCAGCTGGTGGGGGGAAAAGCAGAGAGGTGGGTTAGGAGTGGAGGAACCGGGTCCCCCAGCCTCCCCCCACATCCATCTTTCCTCCCTCCTCCCCAAAATCCTGCTGTCCCCATGCAGGGGGGGTCCTACCTGGCTGGGCATGGTCGGGGGGGGCGGCCAGAAGTAGGGGTTGTTGAAGCGAGGCTCCGCCATCCTGTGGGGAGAGAGGGGGATGGGTTATGGGGTGACACCGGTAGGAGTGGAGGAACCGGGTCCTCCAGCCTCCCCCCACATCCATCTGTCCTCCCTCCTCCCCAAAATCCTTCTATCCCCATGCAGGGGGGGTCCTACCTGGCTGGGCATGGTCGGGGGGGGCGGCCAGAAGTAGGGGTTGTTGAAGCGAGGCTCCGCCATCCTGTGGGGAGAGAGGGGGATGGGTTATGGGGTGACACCGGCTGCCACACGGACCCCCAACTCCCACCTCGAACCCCACCAACACCAACCCCCCCGCCCAAAAAAGCAACACCCCGGCTCTGAAAGAGGGCAGGGAGCAGGCAGGGACAGGGAACCTCCCAAGCATCTTCCCAGCTGGAAATTCCTGCAGGATTAGCGGCTGCCACACGGACCCCCAACTCCCACCTCGAACCCCACCAACACCAACCCCCCCGCCCAAAAAAGCAACACCCCAGCTCTGAAAGAGGACAGGGAGCAGGCAGGGACAGGGAACCTCCCAAGCATCTTCCCAGCTGGAAATTCCTGCAGGATTAGGGTAACACCGAGCACCCACCGAGCACCTCGAAGACCCCAAAACACCAGCGAGTGACAAGGATGCAATTTGGCAAGGAGGAGGAGGGGTAAAATTGGGGGAAAAACCCACCCAAATCTCCCAAGCCCTGGAGGTATCTGCGCTGTTCCTCCAGTATCTCCAGGAGGGATTACGGAGGTGGATGGGACGCTGCCACAGGAAGGGTGACCACGACGGCGGCACATCAAACCCAAAGCCAACCCCGGCCGAATTCTGTCCCCCCCACGCCAAAAAAAAGCCACCCCCAATCCCAAGCAAAGCGATCCGCGATGCCCACGGGCAGCTCGGCAGGAAAACCCGGCTGCAGCGGGGCCGGGAGGTTTATAGAGACGCTTAAACACATTGGGAAAATTAATTCTAAATCTATCTTTGGGTAATAGAAAACATCTGAAAGGGGCACAGTGAGGAAACGACACGGACATGAACCGGCATTGCCGCATGGTGGGGGGAAAAGCAGAGAGGTGGGTTAGGAGTGGAGGAACCGGGTCCTCCAGCCTCCCCCCACATCCATCTGTCCTCCCTCCTCCCCAAAATCCTTCTATCCCCATGCAGGGGGGGTCCTACCTGGCTGGGCATGGTCGGGGGGGGCGGCCAGAAGTAGGGGTTGTTGAAGCGAGGCTCCGCCATCCTGTGGGGAGAGAGGGGGATGGGTTATGGGGTGACACCGGCTGCCACACGGACCCCCAACTCCCACCTCGAACCCCACCAACACCAACCCCCCCGCCCAAAAAAGCAACACCCCAGCTCTGAAAGAGGACAGGGAGCAGGCAGGGACAGGGAACCTCCCAAGCATCTTCCCAGCTGGAAATTCCTGCAGGATTAGGGTAACACCGAGCACCCACCGAGCACCTCGAAGACCCCAAAACACCAGCGAGTGACAAGGATGCAATTTGGCAAGGAGGAGGAGGGGTAAAATTGGGGGAAAAACCCACCCAAATCTCCCAAGCCCTGGAGGTATCTGCGCTGTTCCTCCAGTATCTCCAGGAGGGATTACGGAGGTGGATGGGACGCTGCCACAGGAAGGGTGACCACGACGGCGGCACATCAAACCCAAAGCCAACCCCGGCCGAATTCTGTCCCCCCCACGCCAAAAAAAAGCCACCCCCAATCCCAAGCAAAGCGATCCGCGATGCCCACGGGCAGCTCGGCAGGAAAACCCGGCTGCAGCGGGGCCGGGAGGTTTATAGAGACGCTTAAACACATTGGGAAAATTAATTCTAAATCTATCTTTGGGTAATAGAAAACATCTGAAAGGGACACGGCAAGGAAACGACACGGGTATGAACTGGCATCACCGCGCCGGCAAACCTTGTTACCGGGGTGTTTAAAAGGGTAAAGTATAAGGGACCCCAGTGGAACGTATAGGGGAGTCCCCGAGGAGCTCCATCTATAATATAAACCAGGCCGCGGCCGGGATCCCGGGAGAAACTAGATCGGCGCCTCCAGCGAAGTGTGTCCCTGAAAGCCTTCGGGGTGGCGGGATGTGGGGGCAGAGCACGGGGCTGGGGACACTGAGGCACAGGGAGTCACAGGTCACAGCTGCGGGGACTCAGACGCGGGCCTGCGTGTGCCTGACAGGCAGCCTCCTCCAAACGGCGCCGGTGCTGTCCGGGAGCATCCCTGCTCCCACAAAAATCCACCTTTGGGGCGGGATGGGGCGATGAGCCTTCCTCCTTCTCCTCCTCCTCACACTCAATTGCTGCCCCTGGGTTTAAATCAGACCCTGAGCTCTCCGGAGGCGGGTGGGCAGCACCCAGCAAAAGCGGGTCCTGGTCCCACCAGGGTCTTCGCAGCCACAGGGCCAGCCCAGGCTGAGACAGAGCCACAGGCTGCGCCCCTCCAGGCTTGTTTTTTGGGGAAACTGAGGCAGGGGGGAGGGCACTGCACGACCCTCATGATATGGAGCAGCACGGCAGAGGACAAGGCGCGAGTTGGGGTGATTTAGACCTTATGCACCAGCGGCTGGAGGAACAGGAACCCTTTCTCATGGCAGACCCCAACACCACGGCAAGGCCCGGCAACCACCTGACACCGAGTATCCCCACTGCCTTTGGAAATTCCCCTTCCCCGCCTCGAGCTGCTCCCTGTCACCTCCCAGCTGCCCATGCCCCAAATTTAGGCTTTTTGAAGAGAACCTGGACCTGGATCCTTGCACTATCCCCAAGCACGATTGGTTTTTTTCCCCCGTTTTCCCTCCATCCACCGTATTTACCCCCCTCTCCAGTGCAGGCGGAGCCGGGAGTCCCGCTCCGCACCACGCCTGTGTGCACAGGAAGGGTAATTGCTGGGGCTATTAAATGTGCTTTCCCATACGCGTACACGCCCGCCACCGGCTATTTTATATAGATTATATATGCACCCACACGCCGCCCACAGCGTGCATTTACCCACCGGCTACGTATAATATGTATATACAAGAGTGCTCGGGATGATGAGGATGGGATGCGGCTCTCCGGGACCTGGGACGATGGCACGAGGGGCTGGCGCAACGGGAGATGGGGCCGAAAGAGGCCTTGGCGGGAGGGAAAAGCCCTCGTGATGGAGACAGGCAGGGAAGCAGGCAGCGAGCAGGCAGGGGGGTGCAGGCAGGGGGGCTCTGGGTCCCCCCCGCCGCGGCCAAGCACCCCGGCACGGACCCCACCGCCCCGGCGGGGCCGGCGGCAGCCCCGCGGCGTGGGAAAACAGGAAACAGGAGCTATGATTAGAAAAGGGTTTTTTGGAGCTGCTCCCCCATCACAGCAGGTGCCCTGCGACCTCCGTCCTTCCCGTCTGTCTGTCCATCCATCTGTCTGTCCTTCTCCCCGTCCCGACAGCGTGCCGGGCTCCGCCGGAGCCATCAGTGGCACCAAGAAGGACCGAAACCACCAGCGCAGCTCCTGAACCATCACCAGAACACGGCACGAACCACTACAAACAGTCCCAGGACCCCTCGTGCAAAGCCACAGGGGGTTCAGCAAAGGCATGAAGGGAATTTTGGGGAGGAAAGTGCAAATATTGTGTGTATCTCCCCCTCCCCGCCTCCACCCAAGGAGGTCTTATCAAATAAATTCTTAATTATTTGTAAAACCACCGCGCTCAGAGCTTGACAGACCTGCCCAGAATAAAGAGGAAAGAAATGGTCGGCATGCCAAAAAAAAAAAATCCCTGTTCCTGTCCCAATTTAATGTTATAAATCGTGCGGTATTTCATTGGGAGCGGAGGGAGCGGCTTCCCCCTCTCCCAGGGCTGGGATGGCTGGGGGAGGGAGCGGGAGGGGATATAAAGCAGATGGAAAAAAAAAAATATATATATAAAAAAACTCCCTTTTTCTATATTCTCAGCTAACTATGAAAAATGGAAGCTGACACACGGCAAAAAAAAAAAAGAAAAAAAAGAAAATCCATTAAAATGGAAATTATGAAGGGTGGGGAATGCTGCAGCGCGTCTCCCCCCGGCTCTGCGCAACCCAGCTGTGCGGGGTAAGGGGGTGAGGGGCGCGCGTTAGGGCTCTCCGTGCCCCCCAGTTTTTGGCTGGGCAGGGGGAAACCCCCCCCAGGTAACAGCTCTCCAGCAGCACAGGGTCCTGCAGTCCAAACTGCAGGGTGGGAGCACCCACGGGCACTGGATTTGGCCCACTCTTGCCAAGGAGACACCAAAGCATCGTGGCCACCCGAGCGGGCACGGCCGGAGGAGAGGGATGTCGGAAGAGCAAGCAGGAAGATGCACGGACCCCAAAAACAGGGGCTGAACCCCGAATCCCTGCAGAACGGCGCAATGCCCGGGATCGGGCGAAGGGGGGAACTGGCAACATTTCGGACAACCCTAAAAAGACACAAAAACCATGGCCTCCGCGCCCACGGGGAAGGAAGAGAGCGTGAGAAGCCGGCAAGCCGGGGCGAGAGGGGGGACGCCGAGGGGGAAAGGGGTGCGGCGGCGGCGGCGGCAGCGAGGGGTCGGCGGTGGCGAGATATGGTGGGACGCCGGTGTTTTGGTACTCACAGGCTGGCCTCAGAAGCCAGGTGGCCGCAGCTGCCTGGGGAGACGTGTCGATGAGGCTCCAGATTGATGGGAGGTAGATGATGGCACGGGTGGGCACGAGCTCACTAGAGCCTTCCAACTTCCTACCCAACTGCCGCTAAGTCAAGCTACAGTTCTCTAGGGAACGCCTCTACCTTGGCAGCCCTCTCTGTCTCGCCTTCGCTGAAATAAAAAGAAACAAGAGATTTCTTTTCACGGCACCGCCAAGAGAAAGGGGGCAGCTCCCGGGTACCGGCAACCCTGAGGACGGCAAGCGATCACCGACCCGGTACAGCCGGCAAACGGGGGGAGCGGGAGGCGAGGGGAGGGATTCAGGGTGACCGCAGCCGACCCGGTACAGCCGGCAAACGGGGGGAGTGGGAGGCGAGGGGAGGGATTCGGGGTGACCGCAGCGGCTGTCGGGAGTGTCTAAACGTGCCCTCAACTGAGCAAAAAGCCGAGCCCTTGGTGTCCCCAACCGCAGTGTCCTGTCCCCGAGGGTCCCAGCAAGAGCATCGGGGCAGAGGTGCCCCCCTCCCCATGCCAAGCGGCGAGCGCAGGAAAGCCGACAGCGGCCCAAGACAGCACGACGGGCAAGAGCCAAGCGGGCTGAGGTCCCCTGCGTGTGTTCCCCCCAGATCCCAGCACGTCCCTACCGCCACGGGACAGATGGGGCACGGTGACGCTGGTGCACCCACGTCCCCGCCACCTCCCATGGCCAGGCGAGGGGCAGAATCCAGCTCTGCCCTCCACTCCGCCTCAATTTCCCCAAAAAACACGAGGCCACGGTCCCTCTCCCCCGGTAAGGACAGGTTTCCCCCCCACATGCAAGCAGGGCCTGCCCGGAGCAGGAGGATTTTCCGAGGGAAAGCGAGTGCCCCTCTGCAAAAACCCCAGCCCGGAGCCACCAGGGTGGGAAGCGGCGCCCAGCACCATCCCGCTTCCATCCTGGGGGAACCCACATCCTCCCCCCTGCCCGGACTGTCCTTATCCAGGAGGGATTTAGCCCAAAGCAGAGGTGGCAGAAGGCAGGCGAGGCCAAGGAAGCAGAAACGACGGGCGAGAACCGAAATCCCCATCGCTCGGGGGGGGGGGGCAGACCGCGCGCCAGAAGAATTCACCCAAGATGGAACCAATTAAACCCCACGTTTCCGCCCCCCGAAGGGCTGTTAACTGGTGTTTCTCCTTCAGATTTTCACTGAAACCAACCCAAAACGAGCCCTAGCATAAACTCTCTCCTGGTATGGGGGTCCCTGGGTGGGAAAGGGGGTGCCACGGGTGCAGGGATAAGGAGCCAAGCACCGGCGTGAAGCAGAAGGGGAGGCAAAGCCACGCTGGGGACCACAGCAGGGTGTCCCCCCCCGGGGATGAAGGAGGGGGGAAAGGGAGAGGCAACGCTCCCAAAAGATGGGGGCCGAGGCGGCGTAACCCCATATCCTCAGGGTCAAAATGCCATCCATCCGTCCCGTCACCGATGGGACCCAGCAAAGGGGACACGGGGACAGCCCGCAGGGAAACCCGGCGCCCGTGGGGTGACGCTCGCGCCAAACATGGGGCCCATGTGTGTCCCCCCCCAAGAAAACACACCATTCCCCAGCACAGGGGGAGTTACCCGCTCCCCCAGACCCCCAACACACCCATCCCCCTAAAAGAGACCAACTAGGCACAGCCAGCGCCCACAAACCAGCCAGCTCAGGGGGCAGCCGCCCCCCCTCCCAGGGCAGCAAGGGGGGGTCTGGAGAGCACCCACGGGTGACACCGACGGGACCACCCCAGCGGGTGGGGAAACCGAGGCACGGGCGGCTTAGCAGGGGTTCACCCCGAGGAGGCAGCGAGCGCGCACCCGATCCAACATGCACTTGTCGTGACATCGCACCCGCCGACCGAAAATCCACAGGTTTTTTTTAAGGGAAAAAAAAAAATAATAATTGGGGGTGGGAGGGGTCGAGGGAGAAAGAGATTATTTTATGCATATAAATACACGTATCTTAAAACGGACATTTCAAGCGGTCACACTTACGCCGTGAGCAGGGTCCCCTCCGCCGCCGGATCCAGTCCCCTCCCCACAGGGGAGGGGTCAGGCAGGTGGCCCCCCCAGCCTCCCCCCCAAAAAACCCCCAGGGAGGGCCAAAATCCACCCCCACTTAAGTATAAATATATATATGCACGTGATAATACGCGTATTATTATGTGTATATATATATTCCTTTTATATGCATATATACAATTACATGCATCCACATCATTAAGCACATATACATTATTTTACAATGTAAAATATATATATCTATAGGGTTGGGTTTTTGGTTTTTTTTTTTCCTCCAGTCCCCTCAATAAACCCGGCATGCCCACCTCTGCGAGTACTGGCGTTGCTTCCCCTTATCCGCGTCCATCTCCAGCTCTAGCTGAGACCGGGTGCTGCACGCGGGGCGTTTTTCTACGGGGGGACAAGGAGGACAACTTCACACACCCCGAACCCACCGCCAGCCCCCGGCGCGCGAGATCCCACAGCGGAGGAACAAAAGCGAAGCGGCTCCGACCTACCCGACCCGTGGGAACGTGGGGTTTTTCCTGAAAATAGAGAGAACAAAAAAAAGAAAAAAAAAAAAAGGGGAAAAAAAAAAAAAGCAATGTTGTTGTTGTTTTTGGTTTTTGTTTTTTTTTTTTAAAAGCCTGTTTTACCCCCAAGCTGCCTGCGAAGCCGAGGGATAGGGAGCTGCTGGCTGGAAAATCGGGGTTGAAATCCATCCCCTCGCCCCGGACCCTCCGCCTCTCGGCAAATTGCACGCCGGGAGGGACCGAAAACTTTTTTACCTCTCTGCTAAAATATCACTTTATAATCTCAAAAGGCCTCGGGCTCGAAGCCGCTATCGCCCGCTCCATCCTTCCCGGGTTAAAAAACCCGGCTGATGTCCGAAGGACAGCCGGGCTGGGGAAAAAAAAAACAACCAAGGAGCATCCTCCGACCTTGCAGGGTATTTGCTGGAGAAAAAGAAATAAAATCAGCAAATTAATCATTCCTGGGTTAAAACGCATCTTCGGCCGGCTACGCCGCGGCCACGCCGGCTCTAAGCTCCCCCCCGGGCCCCCGACGTGGCCGGGAGATTATGGATGTATAAATAGTATATGGCTAAATATACGTCCAGGCAGACAGACAGACCTCTCTAAGCACCGCCACGGAAATTTGGGTCCCTTGCTAAGGCTGCCGCATTCCTGCCAAAGCGCGATGCAAAAATATTCCCCCCGTTAGACCTTCCAGCCAGCGAGACCACTTTCTAGACAAAACCGGTTAATAAAAAAAAAAAAAAAAAGGAGGGGGGGAAAGGGAATAAAAACGATAATAATAACCACCCCCCCGCGCTTCTTCCGCCACCCCCTGTGTAAGAAAAAAAAAAGCCATGAATAAATAAAAA